TATAGTTTTCTAGGTATGTATGTTTCCCCAGACATACATACATACCTCGAGTTTCTAGGTATGTATGTTTCCCCAGACATACATACATACATACCTATTTTTTTCTAGGTACACCCAGACATACATACATACCCATAGTTTCTACGTATGTATGTTTCGACATACATACATACATACATACATACCTTCGTAGGGGGGGAGCCAGGGGATGCCTGCCAGATACTTACTAACCTCCGAAAACAGAGTATGTATGTTAGCCCAAACATGTGCACTTTCATGGCCGGTGGACTAGTCTGGTCATGCAACCCTTTGGTGATAGTAATAGTATGTTTCCCATATGACCAAATGACCAAAACAGCATTTTGACCAGCAAATATCAATGTCTTTTTGGTGCTAAAATGCATTGTTCCTGAACCCGAGTGTTTCACCAATCTTTGGCTCAAGAAGCAGAGTGAACATCAGGGAGGGACTATCCATGAACGGTTTTTCATCTTTTTTCACCTGTGCTCCAAACACAACTTGAAAACATATTGCAAGCATCACCAAAGCAACTATGGACATACTGCCTAATTATGGCCACATTGTGGTGCAGTAGTTGACAACTGCGGCTTTGGCAGTGTGACCAAAGCAGTTAGCAAAACCATGTGGACAAACACAACAGGGAACCCAGGTATGTATTGTATACTTATACATATATATATATGTCGCTTGCTTTCCGTGACGATGAGATCCGAATCACCAGGTGTCGCACGCTTCAGCCTTCCAAGACTTGGTCGCTGCGAGGCACCTCAATCAGCAAAAAAGGAATCTGTGTGGAAAACACGTTGATACTGAGACTATGGAGGATGGGTGCGAAACGGGTTAGACTCTTTGACAGACGTTTCTCTTAAAAATATCCTGACTTATAAAGACCTGTAAGCATATCATGCGCCTTCGAACACGAACAATCAGTTGTATATAAACATGGTTTCACAAACTAATTAGGCAGCCTCTTTGGATCATGTTCATGGGCGTAGTGTTTGCGAGGCACATGGCTGCGAGGTGGAAGCTGGCAACCCAGTCAAAAGCAAAAGGTCGAGACCGTGTTACACATGCAACAGAAGATCAAAGCCGATATGATTGGAGCATTGTTATATGCTGAAGAAGTCAGTTTTGTCGAGGCCTTGGCAAAGTCACTGGAGCCAGGCAGCTTTGATCCAGCTCTGATCTCTCCGCCGCGAGATCGCGTCGTATTCAGGCAAGACGAAGCTTCCTGAGGCTTGGATGTTTTGGGACATGCTGCAAGTTGATTGAGGCCATCGCTCTTAGGTTGGAGGCCATCGCTATTAGTTCTTCCTTTCGTGAGAAGCCTTTCAGTTTTGAGAGAAGATTGACTGTGCGAGTCAATGAGAAGCCTGTGTCCACAACATCCAGAGGGACAGATTCTGAACTGATTCCGGAGGCTTTATCAAAATCTTGGAGTTATTTCAGGTTTGCCAGGGACTTAGCTTGAGACAATGGAACTTTGCAAAGAAGACAAATGCCTTGCCTTTGCCTCTTTGCCTTTGCATGCTGGCAGCACTCCTTCATTTGTGCTTCACGGAGGAGGCTGGATCCTTCCAGTTTCTTCAGTGTGGGTGGATGCAAGGCCCCCGGACTTCGATCCGCCTTCGAAACCTTACTTGTCCAGATCTCGGGTCTTGATTGGCATGGATGAATGCACGAGATGCTGGAGCCGAAAGACAAATTCAACGACTAGTGAACAACATAATGAGTTTAGACATATCCAAGCGACAACATTGCAATCTATTCACAATGCTCAGTTCAAGAGCAGAAACCACTCTGATTGCCATGGGAGCATTTCATGCAAAAAGGGTTTGTTTAGATCGAAAGCACTTGGATTCAACCGCCTTCATGACAAAATCCTCCAGAGAAGGGAGCATGAATGCACGACATTGTTGCAATATCACACCTTCCAGCTGCTGCTTCTTTGCGCTAAGGAGGCTCTGAAAGATGAGAAGGACTTCAGCATGGGGTGTCGCTCTCAGACAGGTTAGTGAAGTGAGAGACAGGGTGAGGGAGTGTGTGTGCCTTGCAGTTGCATTTGAGCATCTTGAACTGACCACGGGGTCTGGCAATGACATCGACGGGGGAAGAGCGAGTTGTACCTCCACTCCCGATCAGCTTTGTTGGGCGTCACCGCAGCATTTCCATGGTCCATGAGTTCTTCGCAGCATGTGATGGGATTGGCCGATGTCAACACGGACATTTTGCAGAGCAGAGAACTAAACTCAATATCCTCATTTGGCAGCATGGTGTTGATTGGCAATGATGACCTATGCGACATTTTCCAATCTTTGAGTGGTGTGGGTCTCGAAAACGCCAAATCGGACCGAAGTAGCTTGCGTGTGCTTGAGCCGCACTGATGATGCCTGGAGTTGCCATGCCACCGAAGCTTGGCTTGAATGTTCAGGGTATTGCTTGTGGGCTGTGAATACAGAATGTATACAATTACATACAAATACCATATTATGTGTATATATACACATATATTATATCAGTAATCAGTTGCTTGTATAGATATATACACAGTTATACACATATATGTACATACACATGTGTGTATATATGATGTAGTGTGCACTCGTTTGAGAGAGGTTTGCTTGGAACAGTCTCATTTCGGCAGCACCATGCCATCCACCCAAGAGTTAACTTGTCTGAACCCAAAAGGCAAGGCTAGGGGTGCCCTAGGTGGCCGTTTGGCTTAGTGGTGTTCAGGCCGATTGCACGCCACCAATTAGAACTATCCAAGTCCCTACAAAAAAAACTGGTGTTGTACCATTGATCTAGGACAGCTGAGATGCTCATGTGATCCAAGGGATAATGGGGGTGCTCAGATATTGTAAGCACAGAAGGATTTCCAGGTAATGTCCACCTCTGATTAATCAGTAGGGCCCCCCCCTGAAAGACCTCAAATAGATATAAAGACTGTTTTCAACTGTTTAGTATTGGTAGATATTTTTCCTTTAGTATAAGAATCAAGGAAAGGAATAGAAGAAAGGAATCCATTGAGGACCCATTGATTCACCAGGAATCCTCACCAGGATCAGCCAGCAAGAATCCTCACCAGGATCAGGGAGTCCTTAGCTGTATTTAGGGTCAATCTTTATTTTGTACTTGGGCCCTCATGAGGGGTACCCTTGCTGAACTGTTTTCATAGCTTTGTTGAAGATTTGTTAATAAGGGATTTTAAAAGAAGTCACCCTAGGTTCATTTGGATCTTTTCCTTTTCAGCTACTTGAAGAAGAGTTCATCAAGGGGAATGACATTGGGATTAGATTGAGAACCCTGACAGTTTTATGCTTAAAAATGTTTCACTATGACCAAAACAATTTCAATAATACAAAAAGGACTAGCCAGAGTGACCTCAAAGGGTGCTCATCTGGAGGG